TAGCGATGAGTAGCGCCGTTGAGCTCTCGTCCCTTTGGCGAAGATGGTGCCGTTCTTTACCCACAGGAACTTGTACGATTCTTCCCTGTCCTTTGTTCTGGCTTGAAAGAAGATGTTCTTGCTGGTTCCTGTTAAGTTGTCATAAAAGCATACTTTCTGTTGTCTTCCTGTCCCAGGAAGCGTGGCCAACTTCTTTCGAGCACTCATTCATTGTTTTTTCCCGAATACAGATGTGAATTGAATTAAAATCGAAGATGCCCCTTCGCGCCGGGAGCACAGGCGATGGCGTGCTAACACTTGGGCAGGGTTAAAGCCCTCGATGCTCAGTTTTGTTGCAAGGTCATCTAATGTGACTTTCACGTTTTTATCACTTGTACAAGGAACACCGTTAATTTCCGTATTACACCTCCTGCTGTACTGTTCGGTCGAATGTACGGTGTTTTGTAGGTGTCCAATCATTGAGGTTTGATCGGACACGGTAGCCTGCAGAGCTCCAACTTCCGATCTGAGTAGTTTAATATCTCTTCCATCTGGCTGCGACTAGCCGCATGACAGATTCGCACTTTTTTTACAGACTTTTGGAGCGCCTCGATAGTCTGTTTTAGAGCGCCTACGGATGGCTTCAAAGATAAGAGATCGTCTACTTTTCGCAGGAAGGTCGCAAAGGCGATCAACATTTACCTTCAACAAGTGAAGGAGCTCGAGTTTTTTTTAATATATCTAGAAGGAATGGCGCTGACGCTTAACCAGGTATCCCTATTCCTGCATGTGCGACAGTTCCAATTTTCGCGTTTATTGTTTCCCATTGATTTAAATGTCTTTTGCGATTTGCCCGAGAACGCGTTAAGATAATACGCATGATTACGGGAAGAGCACTTCCTATAAATTCTCTCACTCGGCAGAGACTTAAAACACATAATACACTCCGATGGTGATGATGATGATAATCATGATGACAATAAGAATACAAATAGACGTTTACAGTTTTCCGTAATGCAAAATTAGAGCGCAGCTCTTGAGAAGGAGGAAGGGAGAGTACGGAGGGGAGGGTATGGCCCCTCCTCCTCCTCCGAACACTTCCCTCCTCATCTCCTCCTGCGCTTCCATTTAGCGGAACATATTTGCTACATTTCCAGCTATAATTAGCGGGAAATGTAGCAAAAACTTTCCGGTAAATTTAGCGAGAAATTTAGCGAAAACATTCCTCTAAGCTTAGCGGAGAAATTTTCCCGCTAAATCTAGCTGAACAATTAGTGGGGAACTTTTCCCATAATGCAACGCGTGGTCACGCACAGTTGCATTATTCCCATAACGCAACGCGCGGTTACGCCGACTCCGACGCCGTTACTGTTGTTTTTTCTTATTTGCCAGCGAATTCATTGTATTTCAGTTTCTTGTGTGTAACAGGGTTCAAGATATTTGCCGCAAGGGTATGAAATGCCCTAGTAAACACAGTGGCGTAGTGTGGTACACGCAGCAAAATAGATAATAAAATTAATATTAATAATAATACTTATTAGTATTATTATTATGTTCACTGATGTCTTCTGCATTCCGTGTTTTTACTGCGATTTGCAAGACTGTTTAAAACGGCAAATATTCCTCTAGAATAATGTCTACTCAAAAAATACCATGATTCTGAAATAAGCAGTCAAGAGACACCGCAAGTTTAGCTTTTAATTTCTGTTGGAATCTTACTTCCATAACAGAAACAGTTAATTTTCATTGTAAATGTAGGGATAATTACTTAAGGAAAATGATATAGCATGCGTCGAAACCGCGGACCACTGCAAGGTGCGTGCTTTTTTCTCTAAACTTTTTTTCAACGATTCCTGTATGAAAATCCCGTGATAGGACAATACCGCCTTACTTAATCTCGATTGATATTAATTTAATATACAGCTGCGCTTCTAGTTACTGTGTTGTTACTGTTACTGTTACTTGTAACTGTGGAAGCTAAGGTAGAACCAAACCTAACATTCTTTGGTTAAAGTCTTAAAATCGTGGCCTCTTTTGTCAGACAAGTGAAAAAGCTAGGCTTCACTGCTGGTAGATTGGCCGTCATCTGACATCTTCGAGCCTAAATTGACGAACATGGGCCCGGTTGTGCCGCACTGCTCCTCTTTCGGTTTATCAGTGCCATCTTTGAGTAGAGTCTAGCACTTCGGATGTTATGTGGCGAGCCAAAGCAAAGCCATATATATGCCAAATAAAAGTACTGTGGCACAAACAAACGCCTTGGAGCAAAACTGTGTTGAGTCACAATTAAAACCCTAGGCAAGCAAAAAAGCGCCGAAAAAATACAGGGACACAGACGAAGGGAAACAGGACAAGGCGCACTCTCAACTGATGTTTATTGAAAAATTCACACGTTATATAGCCACACACACACACACACACAAAAAAAAAAATCTTTTCTATCTACTCAGCCCGCGTTTCAAAAATTCAAACTCATTTGTAGATAAGGATACCGACGTGTCACTTATGCAATTCTTGTCTCTGGTCCTAATTGCATACGCCTCGTTTAATTCCCGCGACACTTTATCTTTGTATCTAGCCAAAATCTTGGTGTCATTGAAGGCCGGGGTGCAAGAGCATCTATTGCAATGAATTGCAAGGTGCCCCGAAGGCGTCGTTCTTGTAGAGGCAGCGTGCTCTCGGGTGCGATCATTAACGCACCTGCCCGTCTGGCCCACGTATGTCATCCCACACGTCATGGGGATTTCATAGACGACGCCAGTGGCACATTCAACGTACTTATTTCGATGTTTGGTAGTGCAGGGATCTGAAGATGGCTGTGGTGAATTGATCTGGCGACAAAGTCGCGCCATCTTATTGGGTGCTGAAAAAGCTACCGGTACATTGTAGCGCTGGGCTACCTTTTTCAGATTGTGCGTTACATTGTGCATATATGGAATGACAACAGGCCTCGTGGTCGGTCTATCGCTGTTTGATTTCCGATTACCTTTAATCTTTTTGATTAAGCTTTCTGCCACTTCAACCAAAGCTCTCAACGGAAAACCAGCCCTCTGCAGGCGTTCTATCTGACCCTCGAAGCTGCCTTGCGCACTGTGCAAACATGACTTTCTGAGAGAAGCCCCCAGGCACGAACTGGCTATGCCCCTTTTCACTACCTTCGAGTGGGCGGAATCAAAAGGAAGGATGCCCTTCCTAGTTCGAGGCGCGTACTTCCAACAAACATGGTCCCTAAAAAACGACAGCTCGAGGTCCAAGAATTGCAGTTTGCTTTCTTTTTGTAACTCATGCGTGAATGTCAACCCGGAGCAACACAATTTAAACACGTCTAGCAACTGAGAGACTTCACTGCAAGGGGGCCCCGCCGAGCGGCTAAGGATGAGGAAATCGTCGACGTATCTGAAGATCTTCACATTGTCATCGTTCGAAATGTTCAAAGCGATGTTTTTTCCACAGCTGCCTAGAAAAATGTCACACAAAACAGGTGCAACACAGGACCCGATGCAAACGCCTTTTCTTTGCACATAAAGTGAAGTCTCTCAGTTGCTAGACGTGTTTAAATTGTGTTGCTCCGGGTTGACATTCACGCATGAGTTACAAAAAGAAAGCAAACTGCAATTCTTGGACCTCGAGCTGTCGTTTTTTAGGGACCATGTTTGTTGGAAGTACGCGCCTCGAACTAGGAAGGGCATCCTTCCTTTTGATTCCGCCCACTCGAAGGTAGTGAAAAGGGGCATAGCCAGTTCGTGCCTGGGGGCTTCTCTCAGAAAGTCATGTTTGCACAGTGCGCAAGGCAGCTTCGAGGGTCAGATAGAACGCCTGCAGAGGGCTGGTTTTCCGTTGAGAGCTTTGGTTGAAGTGGCAGAAAGCTTAATCAAAAAGATTAAAGGTAATCGGAAATCAAACAGCGATAGACCGACCACGAGGCCTGTTGTCATTCCATATATGCACAATGTAACGCACAATCTGAAAAAGGTAGCCCAGCGCTACAATGTACCGGTAGCTTTTTCAGCACCCAATAAGATGGCGCGACTTTGTCGCCAGATCAATTCACCACAGCCATCTTCAGATCCCTGCACTACCAAACATCGAAATAAGTACGTTGAATGTGCCACTGGCGTCGTCTATGAAATCCCCATGACGTGTGGGATGACATACGTGGGCCAGACGGGCAGATGCGTTAATGATCGCACCCGAGAGCACGCTGCCTCTACAAGAACGACGCCTTCGGGGCACCTTGCAATTCATTGCAATAGATGCTCTTGCACCCCGGCCTTCAATGACACCAAGATTTTGGCTAGATACAAAGATAAAGTGTCGCGGGAATTACACGAGGCGTATGCAATTAGGACCAGAGACAAGAATTGCATAAGTGACACGTCGGTATCCTTATCTACAAATGAGTTTGAATTTTTGAAACGCGGGCTGAGTAGATAGAAAAGATTTTTTTTTTTTTGTGTGTGTGTGTGTGTGTGTGTGTGTGGCTATATAACGTGTGAATTTTTCAATAAACATCAGTTGAGAGTGCGCCTTGTCCTGTTTCCCTTCGTCTGTGTCCCTGTATTTTTTCGGCGCTTTTTTGCTTGCAATGAACCAACTGGCCCAAATCTCCACTTTAAAACCCTAGGATTGCACAGCTTGCGTCAAGTTAGGCGGGGTTTTTAAATGCTACCTAGGTTATCTCAGTTAGTGCTTTGCTGAAGCGTATTATAACCTTGCGTCTATATACTCGGCTATTCATATTGATAACTTCATAGTAGTGTCTAAACCAATTTAACCAAACAGGTGTTTCTTTAAAAAATGCACACATTAGATTTCTTTCGAGCGGTGTACTGGAGGAAACATTTCGTGAACTGAGATTTAAACATACTGAAACCACAACATGTAGCATTATCCACATCAGTATAAGCCAGCCTTATGCTAGTGTGCGCATTCTCGTTCATTACATACAATTTCAGGTTTATCCGTTAAAATATTTTAGGGTTTGAATGTTAATAAAACCGAAGCACATATTTTCCTTCCAGAAAACCCAATAAGTCCTTGTGCGCAAAAGCCCGACATTAGTAATTTGAAAGGAGCATTCTATCGCTATTATTATGACATTGATAAAAACGTATGTGATTATACAAGTCAATTTGCAAAGCGCAGTGTCTCTGGACAAACAAACATCTTCTATACTCTCCAAGATTGTCAAAGACTTTGCACTGGTAAGTCTATAAGTTTTGTTCTTGCTATCGGCTTCAGGAGTTAGTGAGAACAATATCAATAATAGCTCCTATTATTGAAACCTCAACGGTGACACACTATGTACACTATATAATAAGGTGATCAAAACTCACCACGTCTTGCGTTTTTTAAGATTTCAGTGAGTATAGAAACTCAGAGAAGGACCACCATAGGTGTCCTGCGTTACCCAAGGGGTGCTGCGAAAAGGGACTTGTTAGGATTTTTTTTGGGGTAGTGCAATCTTGAGCGTCTCAAACTGTCACAGATGTAGAAGCGTGGCTCTTCTGGTTTGAAATCCCAGATCGCGAGAAAAATACAAAGAAACAACAAAAATTTGAACGCAGTCCAAGCGCAGGTTAAAGCTAAGACGCTAAAGGTCCACAAGCACAATCGCGTTTCAACGCATTTGAGTGCGTTGCGGCGCCTTTGCGGCCGGGGGCGGTCGCTTGCGGTACGACGCACGCGGTCCCGCAACGCTCAGTAGTGTGGCGCATGGCGAGGAGATCAAACTATAGGGGGCGGGCTGACCCGTACGTTGTTCTCACAACTCGGTGTTTACCCAACACAAGGCCTTTTGCACATGCCCACAGGCCTTGTGGGCATGTTCATGTCACCTTCTTCAATAGAGCGCTGAGCATGGTTTAATGCAAATATACTAGCAATAAACGAGATTAGCTTAAGTGCCAGATATCTCCCGAAAGCAGTCGTCGGAGTATAAGAGCCTAAACCACTCCGGCTTTTGACCTGGGCTAAGCACCGTGCATGCTGCATTGTTCATGCTGGCCCGATTGGTATAAAAGAGACCCTCGTCCTGCTCACAGAAAAACACGAAATCCAGCCGAACGCTGACACCACGTTCGGTTATGTCAGCCAAGCGCTGAGTCATTGGATTTCTTGCCCCAATCCCTGTAGTTCTAAAGTTAGCCGCTTGGGGTGCTACGGTCTGATCTCATCCCCAATAGAAACTCGCTCAACTTTCTAATACTTTGCGGTGCGTTCGGCCGATCAGAAACCGAGGAAGGAGCGGAAGGTCACGTGTTTGCTCGCGCCACTAATGATGCGTATCCGGCACTCCGTTCGCGGTACCTGCATGTTCCTTTTGGGGTGCGGTGGGAAATGCTCAAACAAGTTTTAATGCAAAAGCATTAACTATTCCATCGACCAAACCGGCGTTATCAGATTTTTAAGTTGCGCCAAACGGCACCTGAATTCCCCTGTCCCATGGAGCGAAGCCTGTAGTCTGTAACAGTCACCCCATTGGCTGGCGCGCGGCGTAGTTCCGAGGAACGCCATCCCACTGAAAAACCCACTTCAGGCGCAGCGTCCCGGCCGCCAGTAAGAGGGAGCGGCTGGCCGCACAGCCAGCAGTGCCCGGCCGGGTAGACTCCTGAGAAGCTGCACGGCCGAGCTCAGCGCGGCGCGCCGCTTGCAGGAATACGCTACGTATACAACTACTTTTGCACTACGACAGGTTAGCAGTCTTAAGTTTCGTTGTTTCTTTTTTTCATTTTTTTCAAAGACAACGATGGTTAAAGCCGGACAGAGTTTGTGACTGCTTGGAGCTCAGCTGGTTGGTATGACATGCTTCTGACTGTTTCTATCTGAACGCTGAAGGAAAAAACGAAGGAGCGGAGGAAATAAGACACACACTGCTGGACTATCATCCATTTACTGAAATTCGTCTTTTTCATATGCTCTCATGAATATACTATCGAGTTCTCAGGGGTAACTTCACCTTCTTTGGTATGACATTGGGTGGCTAACGTTCACGTGTGCCTGACTAGGTTTCTCACATGGAGTGCTCCCAGAAGGTACAGTTTTTCTTTCGAAAATAGCCTAATGGAGGCAGCACTCGCACAGTCGTCCCCGTTCGCCTCAATAGCCAGAGACTCCAAGATTTTCCCTGCAAGCTGGTTTTTGTGTATTCTAACAATGTTAACGTTTGTAGAATCAGGAGCACATTGGCATACTCGGCAATGCGCCGGAAGGTGGCCAGCTAACGCTAGTGCACCAACGGAAGCTACATGCTCCCTGTTGCGGTCATTAATACATCGCCCAGTTTGTCCAATGTAGCACTTGCCACATGACAACGGAATACTGTACACAACTTCTCTCTCGCAAGGGGCGTATGGTGTTTTGTACCCGATGCCGCAGGTGGACTTCTGATTTTGGTCGCTCGTACAATTCGCCTTGCGGCACATGGCATATGCCTTGTTGGGGGCTGAGCATACGACCTGTACGCCTTGTCGGCCGGCGATCGTTTTTAGGCGATGCGTTATCCCGTGGATGTATGGCATCATCACAAGAGGTTTGGGGGGCTTCTTTTTTTGTTGGTTGTGTAATTTGTTATTTTTTGCCACACTTGCTTGCAGAGGCTCTCGCATACCGGTATTAGGAGTGTGCTTGTGTAACCAGAGTCCTGAAGCCTACAGAGCTGTTTATGAGAGTTTTGCCCGACTCTATGGGGGCATGATTTTTGTAATGCGGAGACAAAAGCTTTGGTAGCCAACCCTCGTTTTATAGTTTCTGTGTGTTCTGAGTTGCTTGGAAGGAATCCTTTAGATGAGCTGGCTTCATACATCCAGCACATATGGGTAGTTTAGAACTCCAAGGAGAGATATGGAAACCGTATGGACAGGTTTACGCGAAGTTCCTGGGTGAAAGATAATCCTGGGAAGCTGTCTTTAAACTTGCGTTAGACACTATCTAAACACCTGTTACTCAGCTCGTCTGCATCGGAATTGCACAGTATGAGAAAGTAATCTACATACAGGAAAATGGCCTCAATCCGTCGATCTTTAAGATTTTCTACTCGGGATCCTCTGCAGACTCCACTTTCCTGCACATAGTGTTGCTCCTGGTGTGAAACCACAGTCGCTAAGACGTATATTCCTAAACGCTCCAAGAAGCTATCAAGGCTCATACCAGCTGCACTTTGGAAGCATTGAAGGCCCTGCTCCTTGATGGTTGTCCGGAGGATCATCAGGAGAGTGACATGCGGAATCGAATAGTACATGTCTTGGATATCTAAGAAGAAACCTGGAAAAATTTAACATCTTTTTTCATTAAGAAAGTAAATCACTCGGTCCGAGCTTGTTATCCTGAAGGGTCGTTTACTTTAACTTACGATAGAATCTTCGCCAAAACCTGTAACACTTGACTTTGCCATGTGTGTCTCTCTGATACGGTGGCGCGAAAAGGAACTCCGTTTTCGTGTGTTTTGTTGCCGAGAAAAAAACACACAATTCACTTGGTTGCGCTCCTTTGATAATGATGATAAGGCCTCTGCATTGTTTAGATTCGAGTAATTTTAGGATGGCTTTTCTTGCTGATTGAGTTCGTTTTGGATCTACTTGTTTGAAGTTCTTCGCTATGGCTTGTGTGGATTTTTCTTTATCCGACCCCGAATCCAGAACTACAAACCCTCCCTCTTTGTCTGAAAAGCATAGCCTTTAGTTTTTGCGACGCAGTTCCTGGACGGTTGAGGCAAAGGTCAACTTTGCAGTGTCCGGGTTGTGTAAGCCGGCCAGGCATTCAAGTCCCTCATAGATGACTTGCAATGATGTTTTCTGGGGTGCTTTGAATGCTCTTTCTCGTACCACTAGGAGCTTATCAATGGCGTCTTGCCTTGGTGGGAGGCAGAACTTAGGTCCTTGTTCGATCACGCGTCGGGCTGGTGGCGAATAAGATACGACCCCGATGAACTGGAGCGGCGAGCTTTTGGGTCCCGTCGTGACTCTTCGTGCTGTATGTTGTTTTCTTGTTGGGAAAAAAACACATTTTCGAAAGGTACTCCGTGGTATATCTTGAGTTTCTTCGCACCACCACCGCGCGATAGCAAGTGTTGACCACATAGTCATCACGCGCTATAGGTCTCAAACCTTGAGCGCGTGATTACTATGGGGGCAACTTTCTTTATATCGAGTCACCCAGGAACGAAGCGGTGTGGCATTGTTTCCATAGAGTGGTTACCGAGATCCGAAAAATTTAGTCGACGCTAACAATAGAACCAGCTTTTAAAGTATCTGCAGTTATTTTTTTTTCTGTCCTAGAATGCACGTGACATAGCAACCCATAGCTCTCGTCAGAAAGGGTTCATTCACTCAATAGAGCGTTTTCGTAGATCGTTTTCGCCGCTCCTCAAAGCTCTCCCCAACCCACTCTGATACCCAGAACTCTACAGTCAAGAACATCGGCGCGCAGGCGCAGTAGCGGCTGTTTCGTTGCTGATGGCTCAGCGGAAGGGGAAACGCGGTCTACGAAAACTCCCTATTCACTCAATAAAGGGTCTTAGTAGATCGTTCTGGCAAGCCCCGCTCCGCTATACACTAAAGCGACGACGCTACTGTGCATGTGCGATGCTAGCGGTGCATTAGCAGAACTGCGGAAGCTAGCAGAGGCGCGCTATTTTACGTGAGTTGCGAGAAACGTGGCGCACGTAGCGCGGCGCCCTAGCGTGAGTCTCGTGAGAACAAGTCTCGGCTAGACTAGGGAGAGCCATCAACATGGCCGTCACGCCGCGACTGTCCGGTCTGTCCGCTTCGCGATCGCGGATCTGAGGGGCGGATTATATCTTGCTGCTGCGAGAAGTAGCCGCGACAAAGCCGATCCAGGACTGACACTGGTAGCGATTTATGGCGGACGTGCTAAATACAGCCACGGGGGGAAAACAAGCTGCGCAATTCGTGGTACCTTGAGCACAGGGTGCGGCCTCCTGCTCGGCAGCTATTGTCGTGAGGACACAACCGACCAAGGGAGCGAGCGAGCAGGCGGATCTGAAGGACTTCTGTGGCGTTTTATTTGCGTAATGAGTGAGAAAGATGAAAGAAAAACAGACCGCAACGACACAACAAAAGAGTTTCGGTCGTGGTAATTTATTTTTGAAGATTTCTTCTGATGGCTTTGGCTCTTGACTCATATCGGATTGGCTTGAACAGCTTGACCATCAGTTGTATTCAATTACAAACAAAATAATCATTTACTTAAAAAGAAAACAAGCAAAGAGTAGCACTTTATTCGATAAAA